GAAACACAAATGTTCTACCTGCTGGTTTCTCGCTTTTTTCTTCTTCCATATATTGTGCATGTTGGTTTATTTATAAATGTATTAGTGAGCAACATGTATGTATGACAACCACCATCCTCTGCTGCTGTCAATAGACCACAGGCTCTTATAGACACATTCAGCTGGTACATTTCTATCACCTCTAGCCTCAAGACAAAACTATTTCCAACACTTTCTGACAGGAAAAAGGCTGTTAAAACAATGAAAGGTATTTTAAGTAGCATAAGTTAAACAGTTATATCAAAGGAAGACTATCTGAAAAACAACATAAATAATAAATATACAGTAAGGAGAAAATAGACTCAAGAGGTGTAATTAAAATAGTGAAAAGTAAAGGGTGAATCACATGGTTAGTATGTCTGCCATGTGCACAGATCGAAACAGTTACCCTGTCAATGTCTGCTGAAACAAATAATGCAAATCAATCATGACCAGTATCTCACTGCATGTGAAATTCAACATAAATTTGTCACATCATTCTAAATTTATTATGCAGAAACAAAACCCAATTTAAGTTTCATGCCTTTAAGAGTACAGTGATCTTTTTTCATATATATTTAAGACAGGGTACAGTCCTTTTCAAGCTTTTTGGGAAAGGGGATAGGTGTTTTTATACCGTAATTTTAAAATGCATTATTAAATACAAATACAAATGCTAAATTTTGTTAAAGTGAGGGATGGCATATCATCAAGCATGGGATTTATGATAAGAGAAATGCAATTACATTTATTAAGAGGAGGCAAAACATTCTTGCTAGTAAAAGGCACCAATTTCTTCACAAAATATTCAGTATAAAAATATAGATTTATCACAAATCTATTTTTCACTTCCATTTCTATTTTCCAGTACTTATTTTTATCAAATGAAAACAATTAATTCATTTTCTTTAAGCTGATTAGCCAAAATTAATACATGGCTGACTCATTATTACAGGGAATAAGGTCACACAAACTGGACAATCTCAAGTACCAAGGTCATTGAACTTGTGATAGCATAATGGTCAATGTAAGATGCTAATAGCTCTGTTATTAATAAAACTTATAAAAATAAAACAATAAAGCTCAAAATATGTAAAACATTAAATTATAAACATACAAGTCACAGCAAATCTCATGTATCTACCATAAAAGGGAAAATAAATTACAATCGGTATGTCAAACACACATCTACATTGACCTTAATGTGATTATGTGATGTGATTATGATTTTTAATGTAACTTTAACAATTTTTCAGTCATATCGCTACAATATCTGCAGTGTGGCAGTTTATAGTAATGTCTAGCACTGGGACATCATGCCGCAGACATGTAACATGATGTCCCACCCAGTCACATTATCCTGACACCAGGCCAACAAGTCCTAACACTAACCTCTTAATGCTGAGCGTAAATCGAGGTAGCTGCTAGTACCATTTTTGTAAGTCTTTGGTATGACTGGACCGCAGATTGAACCCATGACCTCCCACATCCAAGTCTGATGCTCTAACCACTAGGCCACCGGAGTGTTTAGTTCAACATTAATGTGTCAAATAGATTATGTCACATTTATTAAATTCATTTGTAACGAGAAAGACTTATCTTGTGAGATGATATTAATACATGCTTAGCTTCATAATGTGGGTCATATTTAGAACAAAAGCAATTACTGTATATACTCACATATAAGCCAAATAATTTGGGAAAAAATAAAGGCATGGAAGAGGGGGAGGGCAGATTATCCATGGGCCAAGGTCTAAAGCAGAAAGATTTTAAGATTTCTTTTTGTTGACTACCATAATGGCTCTAAATCTTGGGACACAAAAAAAATAACTTTTTCTGTGCCCTAAGACATAATGTATGTGAAAAAATGCATTCTCAGTGTCCCAACACTTACTAAATACAGTAGTACTACTATGATTGCTTTGTTATTATATAAATAAAGGTTTAAATACTTCATAATTCACAGGTCATTTAAAGTTTATCTGGAAGACCAGGCTGTACTATAATCTACAGTACTTTCAAAATGCAAATCATACCTAGTGTCACTTTAATTCTTGTTTCTTCCCAATCATATTAGGATCAGATTTTTTTTTTTATTATTTCAACCAAATCCTGATCTTAATTCCAGATAACATATCAGCTAGTTGGTAATAGCTGTATCACTTCTATCCATGTGCTCACGAGTTACTCTTTTTCAATGATATAAGCAATGCTATATTATTAACTGAGGAAATCTGTATGAAAAGGTACACATGTTCAATTGTTCATGGCATAGCAAGTATAACTGTTACATGTTCATGAAGAAATGGAATTCTGAATATAGATCAACTAAGATCATCATCAATATATTTTATTTTCGTGTTTGGCTGAACAAAATCATAATTTTCCACACAATGGAAATGAGATGTTTTAGCATCTCATTTGCTTATTATTGGCAGATTAGTCTTGTGTTTTCTGACAGCAATACAGGCCAGTTAATCATTAAAACCCTGAAACTGGCTTGGGTTACGAGGGAATTTTGATGGGCAATTATTTGAGTACTTTGATGCATAATTGCATTTTACTCTAATATTAGCATGATTATTGTAGTTTGTAAAATGAGGAGTAAGGTCACTTTACATCAAAGCAAATTACAGTTTTATGGTAATAGTATAATTTTCAAAGCATTATTTCTGAAACTTCATTATATTTTGCATTTATCATTATAGTGCAGTGGTGCCCTTGATTCAAATTTAAGGGATAAACTTATTCAGCAGAATGTACTTCATTAAATGCATTCAAACATACAATGTACATTTGGTGTCATTATTATGTAAATACACTTAATAATCTAATTGTGAGCATTGAATCAAACACTACTGTTGTTCATAATTGTCATACTGAGAAAATATTTTATTGAGTAGGGTATTTACAATTTCAAGGCAAAATAAAATCATAATTACTAATGCACTGATATAAAAAGTCTAATGCAATAACAAATAACAAAACAATAATCAAGTCAAAATGGAGAGGTAGTGTTAAAGCAGCCCATGAATGCTTAATTCTTTTCATTGTCTGATCAAGTTATACACAAATCAGAATTAGGCAAAAACAATAAGAAAACAGACAATTAAATTTCTTGACTTATCAAACAAATTTCTATGTAATAATAATTCATAAAGATCCTGAGAGTTACATTTTTTTGCTAATGTAAGTTTGCCTAAATAAATACATTTAGAACTTTCTGTGTGCATCTTGTGATGTGTCTTGAACTTTTGGGTCATGCACTCTTTAGTGTTTATACCTATTCAGTATTTTGGGACTGGCTAAAATGTGAATACACCATTAAATATGGTATCTTTACTTTATCTCTGACACAAAATCCGAACTTGGTGATTTAGCAGCATAGAGTTACAGAAAAACCCCAAAAGTGACAAACATAACTCAAACACATATAACTTCAATGTAAGAAGTCAAAGACAAGCCTATTTTAAAAGAAGTATTAAAAAAAATAACATAAAATAAGGAAACATTAAATTACTTGATGAAAATCCACTCAGGGTTTTACTCCACTGTTTATTCTCAATTCCATAGGTAAGATTATCTTTGCAATGGTCAAGCCCAACATTCACTTGTATGTAACGAGATCCTGGGATGAAATTCAATTTCATACAGCATGTAACTGTCTGGCAACAAGGTGTAAATGCACAAATACTCTTCAATTCATCTGGCAGTCTATTACCTGGGCAATCTTTAAATAAAAATATCTAATGTGAGGATAATAATAAAAAAAACCTAATTATCATGTTACAATATATATGTGAAGCATTTATAGATTACTTTTACATTCCACATTCTATTATTAGTGGAATGATAAGTATAGTTTAACTGTGATCGAGTCGGTCACATTGTAATTTAGGAAAACAATAACAAAACAAAAGGTTTTGCATCAACAACTCCATTTTCATTTCATATAAAATAGTCAATGCTGTACATTCTGAAAGAACAACCATGTGAAATTGTCTTCATAAAAAAAAATATGTTGACTTCTTAATCAATTAATATTGCTTGCCATAAAAAGATCACTTCAATCATCTAATTTTTTAAAAAATTATTGTTTTTTATCCTAACTTTACTTGAAAGAAAAATATCTGAAATTGATAGCTTTGAGAACTTCCACTCCTGAGTTCCTACAGAAACAGTTGTTAGAAGAATTTAATCTGTTAAATATTTTAATATTTTTGTACAATCCTTTCTCTTTTAGTAAATGTATCCAAACTTTAGAATAATAGCTGTTTTACACAACTCTCAATACAAGTGGAATAACTGTATTATAGTCATTTGACCTGTCCATTACCTGATAAATATATAAAAGTTGATTCTGCCACAAAATATATCTCTATTTGTAAATCTGTTTCTTTAAAGGTTTAGGTTATAATTATATATTTTAGGACCATTAGAAAAAAATTCACAAACTAGAATAGATGTTTTCAAAGGACTCAGTTGCCCCATCAATGTGAATGCAAGTAAAGGATAAAGTCAGACAAGGGCAATAACTTTGAATACATAATGAAAAATCAAACCTGATATAAACTTTTCTGAACATAAAACTTCATGCCAAACATTAATGAATGGAATGGTAATCTTCAATGGAAGTGAAGTGACAAGATGTGATAAGAAGTGTTGTGTCAAGAAGAACAAATGTAATACTGTAAGCTGCCACAATGAATATGGTGTGAGTGTGTGTGTGTGTGTGTGTGTGTGATTTGTGATTTGGATTTTTAATGTAGCTTTAACAATTTTTCAGTCATATTGCTACGATGTCCGCAGTGTGGTAGTTTATAGTGATGTCTAGCTCTGAATCATCATGCTGCAGACATGTAGCATGTTGTCCCACTCAGTCACATTATCCTGACACCAGGCCGACCAGTCCTAACACTAAACTCTTGATGCTGAGCACCAAGCAAGGCAGCTGTTAGTACCATTTTTGTAAGTCTTTGGTATGACTCGACAGGGGATCGAACCCATGACCTCTTACATCTAAGGCGGATGCTTTAACCACTAAGCCACTGGAGAGGTTGAATGAATATGGAGATAAAATATGCATTTATTTTTGGAAAGAGCAGATGTAGCTGAAATCATACTTACCAATATTCAAAATAAGAGCTCATGTGTATCTAATAGCATATGGGAACTAGGAATTTCACTGCATTTGCAAAACTCGATTAAGTGAACACAAAATATCTTATTTACACAAATTATTTTGCTGAATAATTATATATTATTTCATGTGTACAAATGACTTGTAGTAATTTGACTGTAGAAAAGAAAAGAAAAGATAAAGCAAGTGTTATAACAGTATAGTAATTTTATTTTATTTTATTATAAAGTTTATTCATCAGACACAATCAAGTTAAAATGAAAATCTCTGACATAATACACATCTGACATATATATATCTAAAAGGTCATGTTCTGCTGGCAGTTTCGCCAATCAAATTACAGCTTTCAGATTTATGAAGTGGGCATTTTCATTTGAAATATATTGTTTGTAACCATAACTCTCTCCAACAGAAAAATGCAACACATTCACAAAACACCTTATCACATAGATTACTAAATATAAATAGACCCAGAATTCTAAAGATCAGCAGAACATGAACATTTATCAGTGCCCATCAGATAGACTTAATAGGCTCAGTTTTAATCACATTGGCATGAGACTTACTTAATTTTAAAAAATTATACTAACAACTGTTATCAGATAACATTACATATTCATTTCTTTGCCATTTGCATATTTAGGTGAGAAAAGCAATAACATATGAAACCCAACATATTATGAAATTTCTTTACCTATTTTTGTTTTGGATGGTGAGCACTCTTTATATTTCCAAAAGTCCATTGTCAAACCTGTAAATTCATAATAGAAATCATGAAAATGATGTTTGTTTCCTGAAGAAGAAAGCAAATATTCATTAAATGGAGGAACTTCAAAACACCAACAAACTCTCACTGTAAATAAGTTTCTTGGACTATGAAGAAATATGAACATCTCTAAAACAGTACAAAAGTTAAGTTGATGCAAAAATAATTGTTAGACTATGAACTATAATAAATTGCATTTAACAAAAATTTTATATCCAAATAAAGTAGCTGTAGTAATACATATGGGATACAATAAATTTCACTGTACATTTTTATGTAAGGAAGTACAGCATACTTTTTCTGAAAGTTGGTTTTATCTTAAGACCATCCTGTTTATCTATGAAAGCTGTTTTCTCAAAACTTTTCACCACAGCTAAGCCACTTAATAATAATCGATCGTTATTTAAAACCATGGCATTAATACTATATAATATACAGGGTCAAACCAGACTTAAATTTTAGGGAAAAGCGACTTTTCCTTTTGGTCAGAACAGGGTGAAGTGGGAGCTCAACAGGGAGATGTGGAAGCTAAACAGGGAGAAATGAGACCAAAGCAAGAAACACAATATATATATATATATATATATATATATATATATATATATATATATATATATATATATATATATATATATATATATAAAGTTGAAACATGTGTGATATGTTTATTATCAACACATTTTGTATGTATATAAAAATTATATATTCATACCCATGCAATTCATACCTGTAGTATATGTCTTTCTTTGGATTGAGGTAAATTCATTCTGTTTTGGTTATATGACTTAAAAAGAACAGCAGAAGCTATACACTATAATTTTAACTGATAGCAGTAACAAGATTAGAGTCTTGTAAGTGCAAGTTAGTAAAAATGCTTAATAAACAACCACTTAATTATTTTTTTTTCTACAAGTTTTGTGTAATGTACAAGTGACTTCAAAATATACCCTTTGTCCTAATTTCATTGTTCCCAATAAAACATTAATGTACCTATTCATAGGCATCAAAATGAAGCGCTAAAGTTGATTTATAAACTGGTCCTTTATAGCTAAACTGGACCCTTTTTTTATCCAACAAAAAAAATCCAAGAACATGTATTGCACCATGCGAGTGCATCTATTTTTAGAAAGAGGGTTTTTTTCATAATATAACTATTCACTTTCTTGCTTTGTTGCAAAAAATCAATAATAGGACTAAATTGTTATGGTTGTATTATTTTTCTACCTACTGGTAATAATGATATGCATTGGTTAAATAGTAGTTGCTTCACTACTATATATATATATATATATATATATATATATATATTTTATTTTCACTAAAATAAATTATGGTATGTCAGATAACAACCTTGGCCTTGCAGCAGTGTTTTGAATTCCACAACAGAGATTGTCGTATATATTTGACCTACATTCTCCTATCACATACTATTTAAACTTTGTTTTCATTATATTATATATTTTCCTGAATCTGTTGGGCACAATTATTTATGAATACAGACAGTTCAATGAAGTTTTACATCAAATACGCAGCAGTGTTTGCCATTACAAGTTCATTTACAAGTTCAAACTGATTTTATAAAGAAAATATGCAAATATGGCTGTTAAAATCTCCATTTATAAAAAAAGAAATAAATTAGAAAATGGTCTTTACTGATCATAATTTTCAAAATACAAATTATTGTTTGCATATTAATGTCAAAATTTCAAAATAGAATTTGGTATATTTTCATCATAGTACAGCAGGCCCAATTTCATGAAATCAAGCAGTGATATCTTGCTCCAGATAGGGTTAATGGTCAGTTAGCTATTAAAACTTGTATGTAAATATGCAAGAATTTCTTTGTCACTGTTAGCTGGTTGATATCAATACCACATAAATACATTTTGTCTTGGGTTACAACAGTGCCACTGGCTACAGCGAGAGGGCATCTCAAAGGAAATTAGCTACAGCCATTTTACGTCTGAAAAATCAGAGGGTGAAGTCGTTTTTGCTTTCCTAACAGAAGGAGGTGAAATTTTATTTCTTAGGTGACTTTTGCACCCACTTTGTCTGGTAGCATGACCCCTGAATACATATATGCAGAGTGACTATGTTGAATAATCATAACATTTCACATGCAACCAAGACTTTCTTGATCGTGTATATGAGTAAGGTATTCAATAAGTTTTAATTGCTGTGTCATTACTTTGATAAACATTCATTTTTACTTCTATCCTTTATTGTTAAAAGCCAGTTTTATGGAGTTTTCCATGTTAGGTGTGTAAATACACTGTCAATTGAAACTACAATTTTGAATGAATAACTGCATCATAATACATGAAAATTCAAAGTTGTAACTAACATTAGGTCATATGAACAAGCTTTACCAGGAATTTGGTCCAATAAAGCAATTTCATATTTCCATAGCTATAAAGACAATTTATAATTGAAATAGTTTCTGTACTTCTCAGTCAAATTGTAAATAGTAATGGTAAGAATATTTCCAAAAAGGTAATGTTACATACATGTTAAAAGCATCATAAGGTTTCTCTCATTGGAGATACTGAGGTATTCACAAGTAACAATTAAATCTTACCTGGAAATGGTGATCCATCCTGAGTAAAGTTTGATTTTGTGTTGTTGCATAATGAATATTCATATTCTGCATTTTCCAGAAGTGGTGTATCAATTAAACATGTTGCATCTAAACAAAGTTTCAACTGAACATCCACTTTTAACTTCCTTTCTGATGGTACACTGTTAATCATATATCTGAAGAAAGAAGCAGGTACAAATGCAAGGAATAAGTTTTGAATTCCATCTATACAGTGTTTTCATATCAAGTTTAATTTAATGCCACCATGTTACCTCTCTAATTCTGACATTTCCTATTCTCTAATAAAGCAGATTGTGTAAGACAAATAACTACAAACTTAAAACCTGAAGTGACAGAAATTAAAGTTTCATATCTTGTTTCCTCATTTTATTCATTAACAAATGGACTCTCACATTTACAACTGGTCTTTAAAATAACAAACGCAATGACAATATTCTATCACAGGCTGCATTGGCAATATAGGTTTTATACTATATTTTTATCATTGCATCCAGTTTTTTCAAAGATTAATTAGGCAATAGGCAATTTAAGAAAACATAAAGCTTGAGTTTGAAAGACGTGCACAGCTCAATGACAAATCAGTTTAAGAGACCCATCTTGGGTCTACATCTCACATTCACTCTAAAGTACATCTATGTTTCTCAAATCTGGTGAGAAATAGGCAAACACATATTGAAATTAGTGATCAAGGATGATTTTTATGCAGTTTTTTTAATAAGCCATGAAGAGCAGATAAAGGTAACTCATTATTGTGTAAAGCACACATCACAGGAATGTACCCACAGTGCCCACATCAGTACCTATAAATGAAAAGTTTAAAGTAATGATGTGATTTGGAAGCAATACTGAATGAATCCTGTAAAATAGCTCACATCAATCCTGTTTTGAAGTGTAACACATGCACCTCTATGCTTTCTCCTCCTGATATCTATAAGTGTGCAATTGTTGTCGTTTCAATCCATTCAAGGAGCAAGCATGGGCACACAGGTAAATGAACAGAAGGAATGCTATAAAACTATCTGCTTGTCAGAGTGTGAAAAAAATGTTTAGACTATCCAAACTTACTTTATTCCAACAACATTGTGAATGTTAATAGTCTTTTCTGTACCTGAAAATATATGAATGCCTATTATATGCATTTATTGCATGGTTGTTATCGACATTATTCTTATTAGTATCATGACATATAAATGATGAATTTACAATGTTTTACAATCATAAAGTATAGTTTATAATAATAAAATTATTGTAACAATAATCTGTATAAAATTACTATTTGTCTAGACTTCAAAGAATCACAATACTTTTGTTACCTGGATCAATATCAGTTTTTATTTATACAAAGAATAATATCAGACTGTAAACTGTAAAAGATTAAAGAAATAAGGAAAATACACATTAAAGGCCATATTACTCATTTGTTGCTCAAGATAAATTAAATAATAGGTTGTTATACTAGCAAAAAAATGTACAGTACATTACTGGAAATGAATTGCATGAGCATTCTAATATGCATATTTGTTGAGTAAAAACAAGGCTGAATT